CCCCAAAACCCCAAAACCCCATCAAGTTTAATGAACATAAAACCTTTGACTAATAATATAAATTATAAATAATAATGGCGGATTAGCAGATGAGCGATGATGCTGCTGAGATTCTTTAATAACCACAAAGACATCCATTTAAGATCTTGCTTTCAAACGAAGTATCAACATGCGTTAGATTCTCACCCATTTAATAAGAGTCGACATTGATGTGTACTTCAAATCTAACCGGATCGCTTAAGTTATTTCGAATGACCAATGAAAACATTCAAAATGGATTTATTAGCAATGATAAGTTAGAGTTAGTCCATGAGTTTAAGGATCATTTATTCCCTATTAATGACATTAATTTCTCAACATACTCATCCTCACTCTAGAATCCATACTTGGCTTCTTGCTCAGATGATACTCTCATTAATATGTACGATTTAACCAAATAGGCTTTGGTAAGATGCTTTATTGGGCACTAGTCTTATGTCACGAAAATTAAGTTCAACAATGTGACGAATGTACTCCTAAGTTGTGGAACAGACAACAAATTGATAATGTGGGATATCAGATCAAACAAAGCAATCTTTAAAATTCTTGGACATCCAGAGCCAATCACATCTATTGACATGTCTTTTGACAATACAATGATCAGCAGTTCATCTTATGATGGTTTTGTAAGACTCTGGGATATGTTTAAAGGAACTTGTTTAAAGACAATGGTTGCAGAAAGTGGAAGCGATTCTCCAATTGGTTTATGCAAGATGACACCCAATAGCAAATACTTGCTCTTTGCAAATCTTAATAGCAAAATCGGCCTATATAACTATAAAAATGACATTGTTAAGCAATATATTGGGCATTCGAATGAATAATACTGTCTTGATGGGCTTTTTGTCAAGAATAAGCAGAATGATAAGATGGTGTTACTGTATGGTGGAGAAGATAGTAGACTTAGTGGTTGGGATTTGAATTCTCAGGATGTGATAATTAGTGCTAATTTAGATGTGGAAAATAAGGGTATGCTTGTTAATTCTGTTGATTATGATGTTAATAATGAACTTGTTGCAGCTAGTGGAAATTTTAAAGGAGTGTATATTGATTAATTACATAATCTTATCAAGCAATGAATGGATTGAAAGCAAATGATTGATTAAGTAAGTGATGAGAAATATTATCAAGTGAAAAAATTAATTTTGTAATAAAGTTATTTTTTTAACATTTTTTTAGATTAATGGGGTTTTGGGGTTTTGGGGTTTTGGGG